ACTAGATGTCATTTCAAATAACTCATACTATAAAATAAACTGAGTAAAGATAAAAACAAGACCCAAAGAAGGTTAGAGAAGGGAAGATGAGGCCAGGACAGGGTCTATGCCCTTGTCAGGTATTATCAGAGAATGCTGGCCCAAGTTGTTTAATTTAATGTTATTAGTAACGGTAGTAATAGCAGTGTGTGTGTGTGTGTGTGTGTGTGTGTGTGTGTGTGTGTGTACGTGTATGTGTATGTGTATCATAGCATACATGTGGGGGTCAACTTTGTGGAGTCAGTTCTCTCCTTCTATCTTTATGTGAGTTCCAGGGATCGAATTCAAGTTGTCAGGCTTATACTCCAAGTTCTTTATCCACTGAATCATCTCACTGACCCTGGCCTAGGTTTCTTAAAGGTCTGACACAGATAAATGACCCAGGATCCCCAAGAAAGATTCAAGCTAGTTGCTCAGAAAAGTAGCTTCAGACTCGGAAACCAGGAAAAGTGTATCTGAGGTAATTCATTGAAGGGACCCTGTGATTTGACATGCAATGACCATTCTGGACAGCAGGTGCTTGGCAACACATGGAGTCCCGGGTGATAGTGTCTTATGACATTTTTAGTAGCCTGGGTACCATCTACTGGGTGCATTGGGGATTCTGGGGAAGAAATGTGTATTGTATAGACCATGATAGTGGTGTATAAACCAGATAGGGGGATGATACCTGAGCTGCTAACAGCAGGCAATGCGAGTTGCCCCAGGCTGTAGGAGGCAACCACTCCTGTACTTGTATATAAATATGACACTCCCCCCACCCTCCCCCACCCCTTCTCTACCGCTCTAGGTTGAACATCTTCCCTTTGTCCTGACCAGGGGCCCAAGGAGGAAGAGTGCCTGGGTCTTCTGGGAGACTCCTCACTCTGGAGGATCTCATCACAGACAATGGAGTAACCTCTGTTGACAATGGGAACCTGAGACTAGAACTGGGGGATGCTCAGTCAGTAAAGTGCCTGCTGCACAAGCACAAGGACCCAGATTTGGCTCTCCAGCACCCATGTAAAAAGCCTGGCATGGTGGTGCAGTGCATGTCTGCACTGCAGAGGGGAGCACAGACAGGTGGATCCCTAAAGTTCATCAGCCAGTCAGCAACACTTCAGTCTCAATGAGAGTTCTGATCTCAAAAAATAAGTAAATAAAGGTGGAGAGTGGTTGAGGAAAGACATCCAGTGTCTACCCCTGGCTTCCATATGCAAATGCTCACATGTGCATACATGTATAATCACACACATACACACACACACACACACACACACACACACACACACCAGGGAAAGAATCTGAGCTGGGACCTTCAAGGTCATTCCCCTCTCCTTGTAAGACAGAAAGGCCAAGCCCCAAAGGGACTCATTTTCTGAGACTACAAGGCTGAAACTGAGGCTGAGACCAACTGGATTTCAGCACAGTGTTCTAAACTGCCATTGCACAGAAGAATCAAATAGAGATCTTGGGGCTGGAGAGATAGCTCAGCAGTTAAGAACACTAGCTGTTCTTGCAGTAGACACGGGTTCAAATCCCAGCACCCACATGGCAGCTAACAACTGTCCATAACTCCAGTTCCAGGGGATCCGACGGCCTCTTCTGTCCTCCTCGGGCACTGCACGACACAGATGCACTTACCTACATGCAGGCAATACACATATACATATAATAAAATAAAAAATAATAAATAAATTTAAAAATATATAAAAAGAATCAAATAGAGATCTCATTTTAGGAGGAAAACCTTGTGCGGTAACTCCCCGGTGGAGCTGTGGAATGACTTTCCATTATATAATTTTATTCAAACTGATACGGGCCAATAAATATAAATGTGCATGTGTGTTCGCTGTTTTAAAACATTTTAATGTTTAAAACATGATTTACTAATGCTACTAAGGATGTCTAGAATTTGATTTACTGAATAGTATTGAATGTTTATACTTGTTCCTTACAGAAATTCCTGCCAAAGAGCCATTTTTTCTACAGGAATAATAAATAAGTCAATATGTGGATGGCTGTGCACATTTTTCCCATATGCAGCCCTACGTGGTAGAGATTGTTTTGCACACAAACACTCAAAAGGTAAACTTAAGAGGCACACACAGTCACTGATGTCCAAGGTGCAGCCCATGTCAAGATCAGCTGGGCAATCCTAGCATGTGGGAGGTAGAGGCAGGAAGTTCAGGAGCTCAGGATCATTCTTAACTAATAGGAAGTTCAAGGCCAGCCTGAGCTACGTTAGACCCTGTCTCTGAAAACAATAAAAAGGGCCAGGGAAATGGCTCAGTGGGTTAAAAGCACTGGCTATGAAAACCTAATGATCTGAATCCTGACTTTGGATCCTGGAACCCATGTAAAAAGCTGGATGTGGTAGTATGCATCTATAATCCCAGCACTCCCATGGTGAGATGGGAAGTGGAGACAGGAGAATGGCCTAGAAGCTCATGGGTCAGCTAGCTGTAGTGTGCAGTGTAGCAGCAGAAACAGCTAGGTGCCTCAGAACAAGATAGGAGGAAGAACTGACTCCAGAAGGCTGTCCTCTGGCACACACACACACACACACACACACACACACACAAAATCAGGGCTGGAAATGTAGCTCAGTTGATAGAGTGCTTGCCTAGCATGTGCAAAGTTCTGGGTTCATTTTTTGCCCCCAGATGTGGTGCTGTTTGCCTGTAATCTCAGCACTTGGGAGATGGAGATAGAAGGACAAGAAGTTCAAGGTCATCCTCAGCTACATATCAAGTTCAAAGTCAGCATAGAATACTTGAGATCTGGTCTCTTTTTTTATTTTTAATGTTTATTTATTTATTTATTATTTATTTAGGTCTTTTTGAGACAGGGTCTCCCTATGGCCCCAGCTGGCGTAGAACTCACTATGTTGACCAGGCTGGCCTTGAACTCACAGAGATCCACTTGCCTCTACCACCCGAGTACTGGGATTAAAGGCCTGTGCTACCACATCTGGACTTTTTTTAAAGGTGCTATTTGGGCCTTGGGAAAAATAGATCCACACTTAAGTAACCACCCTTAGCTTAGTGTGTATTTGTTTGTTCATTTATTTGTTCACTTAATGCTAGCTTCCTGTTGTAATAAAATGCCTGAAATAAACAACTTAAAGGAGGAAAGATTTAATTTGGCTCAAGATTGCAGAGGTTGTGGTCCATGGTCACCTGACTGTTCCTTCTAGGCCCATATAAGGCAGACTGTCATGGCAGGGAGCTTATCTCATGGTGAGCAGGAGGCAGAGAAAATGGCCAGAGTTAAGCTTTATGTTTACAGGTGTATCCCCAATGACCTACTTCCTCCTGATAACCCAGGGATAAGGGTAGTGCTTTACAATCCGGACCAAGGCTTTAGCACATGATTTGGGGAACATTTTAGCTCCAAACTAAACTCAACAGCCATTTATTAAACTCCTGTGTCCCATTCATTAGATTAAACATGGTGTGAGTTTTCCCTTTCTTGAGATTCAGAGATAACAGAGTCTGTTTATGAATCCCTTGAAGGACTTTGAGATTATTTTTTATTTAATTCTCACAAAAATCCTATGGGAAGAAGTTCAGTCTACCTGAGGAGAAGGGCTAGCGTTCTTTTAGTTTGTTCACTTAGGGTTTTTAAAATTTAAATATTACTTCTATTTTATGTGTATGAATGTTTTCCCTGCATGTATGTTAGTGCACTTGTGTCGTGTAATGCCTGTGGAGGTCAGGTACAATGTCTGTGGAGGTCAGAAGAGGGTGTCAGATCCCTTGGTACTGGAATTTTGAATGGTTGTTAGCTGCCATGTGGGTGCTAGGAACTGAATCTGGGTCCTCTGCCAGAGCAACCAGTACTCTTAACTGATGAGCCATCTCTCCAGCCCCTGTTCACTTGTTTTTATTGAGCCCTTCAAGTATGGAAACAAAGCATATCCATTGCTGAAAAGAATGCAGAACAAGCTGGGTATAGTACATACCTTTAATCCCAGCACTAGGGAGGCAGACCTCTGTGAGTTCAAGGACAGCCTGGTCTATATAACAAGTTCCAGACCTTCCAGGGCTATGTAGTGAGACCCTGTCTCAAAAACAAAATGAAACATGGGGCTAGAGAGATGGCTCAGCAGTTAAAAGCACTGGCTGCTCTTGCAGAGGACCTGGATTCAGTTCCCAGCATCTACATTGCAGCTGACAACCTTTCATAACTCCAGTTCCAGGGAAGCTGCTGTCCTCTTTTCGCTTCCACAGGCAGTGCACACACATGGTGTACTTGCATACATGCAGGCAAAACATTCATACACATAAAAATACATTTTTAAAAATTGAAAACCCAAACAAACAAAAGAATTCAGAACAATGATAATGAGAGGTCAGGGAACTGAGAGGGAGTAGGGGAACATGGGAGGGGCGGGAGAGGGGGATGGAGGCTGGGAATGGTGTGAATGCAGTACTCATATATGCAATTCTCAAAATTAAATTTAAGAAATATGCAAAACTCAGGAGAATATGAAAAGGTCATCTGGGGTGACCTCCATGGAAATCATAGCTAATCCTGTTGCCTGCAGACTTCTTCATGTTTGAGAATATAGATGTATGTGTGTTGGATAGACAGCTATATGTGAGATGTTTTTTCTTTACATGAATGGGGTTTGTGCTGTAATGTAGCTCATGTAGCATCCACATGTGCCTGCACAGCAGTGCGTACCAGAGTCCATACAGCTCTAGTTCATTCTTGTCCATGGCCTTATACTTCTTTGCAAATGAACAGGATGAGCTAGGCATGTGTCTCACACCTTTAATCTCAGTGCTTGAGAGGCAGGAAGATTGCCATGTGTTGAAGGCCAGCCTGGGCTATCTAGTGAGTTCTAGGCCAGTGTGGTTGACATAGTGAGGCTTTCTCAAATAACAAAGGCAGTGACTGTGTCTCTTGCCTTCCTCAGTCTTCTCTCTCTCTCTCTCTCTCTCTCTCTCTCTCTCTCTCTCTCACTGTTCTAGGTGGTAGGTCTTCTCTTGCCCAACCAGACACTGGCATCCACTGTCTTCTGGCAGGTAAGAGTCTGTACAGGCTGAGGTCGCCAGAATGGAGGGCCACACACATGTTGGTTTGGAACTCCCTTGCCCCGGTATCTCCTGTTCCATCCAGGCCCCTAGGCAGAGTGCTCCCCTGCCCTTACCCCAAAACCAAGACCCTGGTCCCACTGAGCAGACCCCCCCAAACCCCATCATGATTCCAGCCATTGTGTGTCACTCTAATCTTTAAATGGAGGTAAGGAGGGGGCCAGGTGCCCTCACCTAGAATACAATGGTGTGTTGGTGGCTGCTCATTCTATCCATTTGCTGCTTGACCCACGATCTGAGGCCTGTTACCTCTTTTTGACCTCAGCTTTTGACGTCATCTTTGGCAATCCAAATCTGTAGGGGAAGGTTAAACCTCCCCAACCTTGAGGCAATAAATGATCACAGATTCTAGCCTCTGCCCTTGGAAACAGTTGAGTTATATCTCCCTGAAAACACACATCCCTCTGTGTTTGCATGTGTGTGGGGGGGGGATGGTGGTGGAAGGAAACCCTGTCTTCTGGGAGAAAAATGTCTGAGTTCTGAACAAAACTGCTAAGAGCCTTAGAGCCTGGACTCTGGAAGTGGTGCCAAGCACTGGACTGGGGATTATAGAAAGAAGTGGGTTGTCAGTTATTTCACCTTCTGTCTAACACTATAATAAGGGAGATATGGCAAAAGCAGTGCAACCTGTTGGGAGAGTAAAGCCCTTAATTCCAAGAATAGGGACTGTCTGCTTTGGGGTAGACTACTGGGCATGCAGATCTATATCCTGGTTCACTAGGAACGGGGCGTTTTCTGACTTGGGATTTTTTAAAATACTAAACCCAGGAAGGTCTCAGCAAACTGGGATAGATGGTCATGTTAACCAGCAAGAGCTGGAGTCAGTGCCCCATGACTTCTGGCAGGGGTGGAAGAGCGGTCTTTCATGAAGGTGACCACTCCTTCCCTGACTTCTATCCCTGATTCCTTTCAGTGGCTGAACCAGAGCCATAATGCCTGTGTCAACTATGCAAACCGCAATGCAACTAAGGTAAGTGTCACTGCCCTCTGCCCATGGCAGGTTCAGGTGGGGGTGGCCCTGCTGCCTTTTGCCCATAGCAGATTCAAGTGAGGGTGGCCTGGCCTTTCACTGTAGAGAATGACATGCCACCTCATTGGCACCAAACATCGCCCTCTTTAGGCACCTGTTTATGCTGCCAGCCCTTCAGGTGAATGGCACTCAGCTTGCTTGGCCAGCAGGAGCCTCTGGGAAGGGCTCTGCAAGAGATGGGTTAAAATGAAGGCCATGCAAGGGGTGATTCTACTGGCTTTCAGGTTCTTTTGGGGTGGCTCATACACTCAGATCTTGGATCCCGATGTTATATCAGCTTTTTGAGGACTGAACCCCAAGCTAGAAGCCACTTCGTATCTCCAGCTCCTAGGCTGGTAGCCATACAAAGCTGATCTCTGACAAGGCCACCTCTCCTGGTCCATTCTTCCATCTAGAAACAAAGAGAGGCAAGGAGAAATCTAGGTCCCCTTTGAGGGAATGCCATTGGGCAGGAGAGGATCTTGGTATCCTAACAATGACAAAGAGGTGGGGCAGGGTAGGAGCTGGCCTGGGCGGTAGCATCTTGAGGGGTCTGAGACTCTGAGGACACCCCCCAATCTAACCCTGCCTACCTAGTCTCTCTTGCATGTTTTACTTGTCCATCTCCATTCAGATGCCTCCCGTTTACCTTAGACCAGCCCTCTCCAAAACTGCAATTGTAACAAAGACATGCTCTTTAACTTTCCTTAATTTTCTATGTTGAGACTTGGGATCTTTTGTTCTATAGAACTATTGGGCAACTGTCTGATACTGACAGGATGCCTGTGTTGAGGGGTCCTTTGAGAGCCAGCCAGACCACAGCCATCAAGGTACTGCCATCCCACCTAAACAGTGTGCCAGGCCTAACATCTGCTTGCAACTGCAACATTCAGCCTTCCTAAACAGGGCCCTGCACAGCCTGGACGTAAGGGACTCAAATGGGCCCCTGCTAGCAGTGTCCACCCAGATTTTTCTCAAACAGGGCAGAAGTAAAGGGGCCTTGTGATGCTTCTTTGCCTTGTCTTCTCCTGTTTGCAAGGTTGCTTGGAAAGCCCCAGTCCCTTTGGCTCCCTGGGGAGTGCTTCTTGTTGGCTGGGACTTGTTTGCTAGGGTAAAACAGGGGGCTAAAACATGGTAGGCAACTAGTATGTCTACCTTTCTGCCTTTGTCTTCTAGCCTTCACCTGCATCTAAGTTCATCCAGGGCTACCTGGGAGCTGTCATCAGTGCTGTCTCCATTGCTGTGAGTAACTCCCTGTCCCTCCCCTCAGGGCTGATGCCAGGATGGAACAGGATGTGGGGAATAGGGTCTGTGAGGGGATGCCTGGCCAGCTTCCTAGACAGAGAAGAGTCTCTGATAGCGAGAGCACAGATTGATACTCTGAGGGTTTGGGGAAGATAAAGGAGTGGAGCCCAGGGCTGCAAGGGCAGGCTGCCTTTCTGCCCCGTGCCTAGCACTCGCCACAGAACAGCTGGTTCACACTTAGCAATGAAGCCCTTGTCAGGCTGTATAAGGCTCCCTTTTGTTTTTGTTTGAGCTTTTTTGAGGGGGGGGGGAGAGTGGAGGGCACTGTCATTCCCTCTGTAGGAGAAATGATTGTAGGGTCACTTGTCCAGCCTCTCCTGAAGGTCTGTAAAGTTCTTCATGTTTGGGGCAATAGGCTTGAGTTGAGTCTTAGCAGACCTGTGAGAATAAAGCTGCGACTCATTAGAGGAGTTTGCAGATTGGCTGAATGAGGATGGGATTGATGGTTCCCAGGTGAGGCTAGAGGGCAGACAATTCAGAGAGGCCTGAGCCAGAGTCAAGAGTCAAGCTGCTGACTTGTCTAACCTTGATCCCTCTTCTGTATGCCTGACACTGTCTGACACTGTCTACATTCCCTTTGGGTTGACTTCCTATAACAACTCCAGAGGGCAAAGTGTCCTTTACATAACTATTACTTCAGTTGCTAGTAACACAATAAATGCATGTAATTGTTAAGAGAAAAGTAATTAGGTCAGGCGAGGTGGTACATACCTTTAATCCCAGCACTGGGGAGGCAGAAGCAGGCAGATCTCTGAGTTCAAGTCCAGCCTGGTCTACATAGCAAGCTCTAGGCCAGCTGGGGCTACAGGGAGACTTTGTCTCAA